CTATGGTATGTCGGAACTTTATACTTATACAGGTGTATTTATTCCAGATGGTAGCACAAAAATTGTGAGAACTTCTTATTACGATTGCATATTTATTCAATTTAATTTAAATTTAACCCATGGAATTTACTATTCACATGACATGAAAATCGTAATTACACATTGATGTTTAAAGCAGAATGAATAATTATCACATCATTACTGATTTAAATACCGAATAACCGAATTAAATACTTGCTGTTCCGGTAAGACAGTGTTTTTAAAGCTGTGTTAAAACAGGTAGTGAGATCTGGAACTTGCGCTCACATTTTCTCTAAAAAATAAGTAGATTTAGTAAGAAAAATATCAGGAAAAATAGATGTTCAGACTTCGCCTTTCTGTAGATAGAAAAAAAAACCGTGTCTATTTAAAGTACTGAAATTGAATAGCAAAACAGTCTAATTTTGAATATTAATGTCCTACGTTTTCAGTTTACGACTATGGATATTAGAAAAAAAGTGTGATTTGATCGAGTTTTGTCTTTAGACCGAGTAGCTGGGAAAAATAGCTCTGAGATCAAAGTAACTACTTCCTATTCACTAACAAATATAGCGTAGTGGGTTGCGTGTAAAAAGACCTATACTGTAATAGTTTTTTACCACCCTTCTCGTATACGTAGTATATGGCGCGTGTTTATTCGATTAATTCATCTTATGCTTGAATACCTATACCGCATGCTTCACAATATATTCATCAGTTTAAAATGGTATGGCACCATAAAAATTAGGTTACAGGTTTATTTATTGCATAATTATTTTTTTTTGTTGTTCGTCAAATAGTAGTGATAACAATTGTTCAATTTTGATTAGAATTAATAATTTGTTCTGTTATGTTTTTGACTTTGATTTAAACCTTAGATTTTATCACTTGTCATACCAGAATTCAGTTCTCATTTTACAGTATATAAAATATGATGAAATTTTGTAAAAAAAAAATGTAGTTGATTCTGTTATTTGTCGATATAAAATCCAACTTACGTTTCAGAGTGAATAAAATATGTCATCAAAACGGAGTAGGGGTGGGTTGACTTTGATTTAAATCTTAGATTCTACCACTTGTCATACCAGAATTCAGTTCCTATTTTACAGTAAATAAAATATTAAGTCAGTGAAATGGAGAAGGAAAGTAGGCGGAGCTAAGATTAGCTTTTTTCTACATAGTCTTATAAGCAAGAAATAGCCCCGCCCACCCGCCCCACTCTTGATTGTAGTGACTGTTCTTAATATTGTTAATTAATGACAACTATATTATCTTATTGGAATCTCAGACAAATCTGTTAAACGGCTGGTGAGGAAATAGATGAAAATTGTAAACAAAGTATCCAGAAAATATTAAGCTGAAGTGAAATAAACATAACAGAAGTGAGAATTATATATAAAAAGAAAAGTCTCTGATGGTCCTCCCACTCGCACAAGCTCCATCTTAATAAATCATTTCATTCGAGCGAAAAAACGGGCGGCGATTATCATTGTACCGTAGTGTGTCTACTTTCTATGATTTTTAAATATTTCTATGTAAACACTGACGGTAAAGTCGTTTTTCAAATAAAAATTAAAATTTTATAAAAAAAGTTCTAGATTCTGTTATTTGTCAATATAAAATCCAACTTATGTTTCAGAGAAAATAAAATGAGTCTTCAAAACGGAGTAGGGGTGGGTGGGCGGGGTCACTTTTGATTATGATTTAAATCCTAGATTCTACCACTTGTGATACCAGAATTCAGTTCCTCTTTTACAGTAAATAAAGTCAGTCAGTGAAATGGAGATGGAAGGTGGACGGAGCTAAGTTTACCTTTTTTCCATAGTCTTATAAACAAAAAATAGCCCCGACCACCCGCCCCACTCTCGATTCTAATCAGTACTTTTAATATTGTTAATTAATGACAACTATATTATCTTATTGGAGTCTCAGACAAATCTGTTAAACCGCTGGTGAGGAAATAAACAAAAATTGTGAAGAAAGTATCTAGAAAATATTAAGCTGGTGGTAAATAAACATAACAGAAGTGAGAATTATATAGAAATGTCTCTGATGCTTCTCTCATCGCACAAGGTCCATTTTAATAAATCATTTCCTTGGACCGAAGAAGGGCGGCGTTTATTATTGTACCACAATGTGTATACTTTGTATCATTTTTAAATGTTTCTATGTAGACACTGACGGTAAAGTCGTTTTTCAAATAAAACTTTAAATTTTGTAAAAAAGAATACTAGATTCTGTTATTTGTCAATATAAAATTCAACTTACGTTTCAGAGCTAATAAAATGTGTCATCAAAACGGAGTAGGGGTGGGTGGGCGGAGTCACTTTTGACTTTGATTTAAATCTTAGATTCTATCACTTGTTGTACCAGAATTCAGTTACTATTTTACAGTAAATAAAATATTAAGTCAGTGAAATGGAGAAGGAAGGTGGGCGGAGCTAAGTTTATCTTTTTCTACATAGTATTATAGGCAAGAAATAGCCCCGCCCACCCACCCCACTCTTGATTCTACTGACTTACTCTTAATATTATTAATTAAAGACAACTATATTATCTTATTGAAATCTCAGACAAATCTGTTACACCGCTGGTGAGGAAATAGATGAAAATTGTTAACAAAATATCTAGAAAATATTAAGCTATTGTTAAATAAACATAATAGAAGTGAGAATTATGTATAAATAGAAACGTCTCTCATGCTCCTCCCACTCGCACAAGCTCCATGATACTTCATTGGAGCAGAGAAGAAGGGCGGCGTTTATTATTGTACCACAGTGTGTCAACTTTATATGATTTTTAATTGTTTCTATGTAAACACTGACGGTAAAGTCGGTTTAGGAATAAAAATTAAAATTTTATAAAAAAAAACTACTAGATTCTGTTATTGGTCAATATAAAATCCAACTTACGTCTCAGAGCCACTAAAATTAGTCAACAAAACGGAGTAGGGGTGGGTGGGCGGGGTTACTTTTGACTTTTTTTTTAAATCTTATATTCTACCATTTGTCATACCAGTTTTCAATTTCTATGTTATAGTAAATAAAATATTAAGCCAGTGAAATAGAGAAGGAAGGTAGGCGGAGCTAAGTTTACCTTTCTTCTACATAGTCCTACAAGCAAGAAATATCCCCGCCCACCCGCCCCACTCTTGATTCAAGTGACTGTTTTAATATTGTTAATTAATAACAGCTCTATAATCTTATTTTAATCTCAGACCACTCTTAAACCACTGGTGAGGAAATAGATAAAAATTGTTAACAAAATATGCAGAAAATATTAAGCTGGTGTTAAATAAACATAACAGAAGTGAGAATTATCTATAAAAAGAAATGTCTCTGATGCTCCTCCCACTCGCACAAGCTCCATCTTAACAAATCATATTATTGGACCGGAGAAGAAGAGCGGCGTTTATTATTGTAGCACAGTGTGTCTACTTTGTATGATTTTCAAATGTTTCCTTACAAACAGTGACGGTAAAGTCGTTTTACGAACAAAAATTAAAATGTTACAAAAAAAAATTGTACTATATTCTGATATTTGTCAATATAAAATCCAACCTACGTTTCAGAGCCAATAAAATGTGTCATCAAAACGGAGTAGGGTGGGTGGGCGGGGTCACTTTTGACTTTGATTTAAATCTTAGATTCTACCACTTGTCATATCATAATTCAGTTCCTATTTAACAATAAGTAAAGTATTAAGTGTGAGAGTGAGAATTTTGTGTTGTTTCTCATTTTAAACAAATTTGAAAAAATATCTTTTTTATTGATATGTAATTCTGAATTAGTTTAATTGTGGGTATCTATGTGATTAATGCGCATTTTTAAGAACAAGGTGAATTATGTGCCAAATTCATTATAATTTTATAATTTTTTTAAATTAAAAGCAATGTTAAGTTACGAGTTCTGTCAAGAAACAGAACAAATTATTTAACTTGTATGTAACGATATTTTTCTACTCGGTTCGTGTTTGTAAAAGTGTAAAAAAAGTAATATCTAGATTGAAACAACTTTTATATAGCAATTCTATATTTGTTGATTTAGTCTTTTTTGTATTTAAAAGCACCCACTTCCATTCGAAACACGTTTCATCAAAAGTTTTAATTTTTTTCACAAATGTATACATACATATTCGTGATTGGAAAGCACATTAAAAAATCACCATATTGGTACATATTGTAAGTTTATTTTAACACATCGTTTGCCAATTATTTATTATTAACAAGAGAGAATTAAAGCGTCTGATAAAATAAAATCACATTGAACAAATATTGAAGATGTGAACACTAATAAAACAACAGTTACGAGTAAAGTATTTCTAAAGATATTTGGAAACAGAGTTAATGACTTTATGAGTGTCGTTAGTTCCTGGTCAAACTTGAACTGTCTCTGTTGAGCTTAATACCCCTAAAAGTAACCGAGTAACCTGTTTTTTCGGGGTTGGTTTCCAGAACCGTAGTTATATATATTTCGTTAGAAAGATTAAGTACTTATTGATAAACGGTTAAATAAGAATTTAACTTTGTTTCCAAATATCTTTAGAAACATTTTATCTGGTTGAATTTCTGTCACCATTAAAAATAATTGGTTTAATATAATAGAAGTGCAGTGTGTTGAAATTAAAAATATTTTTCTTGTTTTGTAGAAATTGTAAAATTAATTTAGTTCTTACTTCTCTACCAATCTCATTGCCACTTACACGATAAAATACAACAGTCACTAAATCACCCAATAACCTCCTTAAACTTTGACTTTATAGATCATTCGACTTTCGCAAAACGTAAACAGTAACAAATACATTTCGAGCTTATGTGCTCAAGTGTGGTGATTTATTGGCAGCAGATATTGTGTTTCGTGCATTTTCAGCTCACCGAAACCGAAATAAATCAAACCGGCAATAATTGAAGCATTTCACGAGCTTACAAGTGAACAATCCCATTTTGTTACCGTTCATCCGCTCATTATTTTTTTCGCTTTCAGCTGAGCTAGTGGAGGAGGATACGAAAATGTGCGGGAAAATCCTGACGGTCCTGTCCTGGGTGATCGTCGTTCTGACCATGCCGTTCTCCCTGTTCGTCTGCTTTAAGGTGAGTCCATCATTGTGCTAAATGGAGTAAGTCGAGAACTTCATAGGAATTAAATTGGAGTTGCTTACCTTTTCGGTGCCGCTTCTGAATTGTAAATAACGGTCTAAATTGAATTTGGGAATTTATAGAAACGCGGATGTTGTAGATATCAGATCCGGGATAGTTCACCGTCCACCCGAGACTGCAGTGGCGTAGGGGTATTGAATTTTCAACGAGTAAAACTCTGTCATAGACATTCTGTGCAAGATTTATGACATTATCTTTTATGTATTTATGAGGAAAGAACAAGAAAAATAACGGGATTAATTTCGTTGCTCTTTCAGTTATGTCAATAAATAATCCATTTTTGCCAAAATCCGTAATTGCACCACTGGGAGAATGACTAAAGTTTGCACCAGTGTCACTGGATACAATTCGGCTAAAACTTTACTTTCCGCACGAATTGCCGCCTTAATTGGGTTTAATTGCACGATGAGGGGCTCGAAATAATGGAAAAATTCGCAATTCTTTAGGTGCTCCACTTTGATGTTATTTTTCCTTTTATTAATTTACCCCGGAATCGGGATAACTTTGCTGAGAGCTTTTAATTATGAATTTTGAAACTTTGTAACCTTTGGGGTTGAGCTGGATTCTTGTTTTAACTCAATTCCTCAAGTCTTGCGGAATTTATTGTAATGCCGAAGGTGTGTTTGTGGCGGCGAATGGAGATTGTGGGGGTAGTTTCCAGCTTTGAACCTTGTCTTAATTACTCTGCGCAATATCGAAATCCAATAAAGATTTGTCTAAATTGGTGATAGGAGATGCATGGAAATGCTGAAATTTACAATCCTCTTAACGGTGTTGATGTAGTAATAAAGTTGGTAAAATAAATGGTGAAGCTCCTATAATGTGTAGGATCAGCTTTCATTTTCTTCCATCGGTAGTTAAAACAGAAGTGTAACGCACCTGTTTGATGGTGGAATAACGTGCTTTCAGATAAATTTATTTGGTTTATCGAGAGTATGATGCGATCTCTCATACCGATTTATGTTACGATGTTTTCACTCAGCGATGCTTTCGACTGGAAAATCGCTCGGATTAAATCATTTTACCATCATTATGTTTATCGACGGCACGCAACATCCATTTGTTCAATAAAAATTGTAAGTAATGAAATAAACATATTTTTCAAAAAGCGTAATTTTTACGGTTGTTCATAAAGTTATAAATACGCGCTGACAATTTGCATGGATGATTTTTGATAATACCATAAATTTGTGTTTTGTCAGAAAGGTTGCTTTTGTAAAGCACACGTTATCAGCGAATTGTGAAAAGACATGGAAAAGAAAAGTTAAAAGGTATTCGACCGCTGCTGTTGCTAGTCTTTTCGCTTACAAACATTCTATTTTATTTATGTACCACTTAAAGCGGCTTCAGTCAGTATCTTGGAAAAAATGATAGCTTTTAACTGCCGAAAATATCTTAAATCTTTCCAGGTAATATTTTACCATTATTAAAAATGAAAGAATTTTTTTAAATAGAATTTATTACTTAGTGAAAATGTACACAAACTCAACAACTGCTTTATTGATAAATAATTTTTGGTTTAAAGTTGAATATAATTGACGATCATATCCATTACTTTTTAAAAAATTGGTCTAAAGAGTTTAGACAGTACTTCCCTCGCTGTCGGAAACTTGACGACTGCATGCCTATTATGTTTTTTTTTCTCATTACATTTTTGTAGTGGGAATTAAAAAAAAAATTGTGATGACGTCATCAACATTTTTGCAAGGACACGTATATCAGTTGGGATAGATGTAGTGTAATACTAAGAATAAAATTATTGTGTTCCCAAATTTTCGGGAAAATGAATTGGGTCGTTTTGAATATTGATTTCTTATAATCAATAAAATAACGAAACAATTGACTCACGTATACGGCGCCGGTGTGTAATATCTAGAGAGCGGATTTCTGTCGGGCTAGGCAAGGCCAAACTCGGTACGGCTCGCACGGGATGCGAATTCATTGCCGTTGCGGACTGCACTTCGTTTATTTGAGATTAGAATAACGTTGTTTCGTTGCACTCTGCTGTTAATTCCCGTTCTCATTTACTTAGCCGTTTGATTAATAAATCGTTAATTATATTTATGGAATCCAGCACGTCCCCCCCTATTATCGTGACGTAGCCCGACAGAAATCCGCTGTCTAGTAATATGAGGGGCAACTGAAAATCGTTTATGTATAAACATTCTTAATTTAAGATGACAAGCGTAAATGCATACGTGAGAGCCAAACAGAGAAACTGTAAACAAAACGACCATCGGTTTTATTGCTTCGACTTCCGCTTATTATATAAAACATTGCGTTTTATTTTAATTCTTGACGGTGAAATTCACAATTGGTTGATTATAAACATGTCTATTTCGCATTCGCGGAACCAAGTGACCGCATAAAACAAATGCAGGTCTGTAATGTTAAAGTCGATGTAAATAAGCGTGCTACTCTTATGTTTCAACCGAGTTTTTCCTTTAACAAATTTTGTGTCTACCAAATTGGGTTGGTTGGGGTGTAATACTAATAATAAGTGTTACCTTTAATTTAATCAATAAAATAAATTGACTTCATTAATTTTTTTGAACCACCTCTTAAGAAAATCTAAAAAATATGAATGGAATGATAAATCACAAGTACAAACTCATCATATTTTTTGCATTTTGGATAGGATTTATTCAGCAAAATTTAAGGGTGACGTCATCAATTTTTTAGGAGGGATGAACAAATACATTTTGAACAAAAGTTTACCATGCTTATAATAACTTTAAAATATTCCCAAGATTTCAAAGCATTCGGTTTTGTAATTCCTGATTAAATCGATAAAATAAATTCACGCCTTCATTAATTTTTTTGAGTCACCCTGCATATGCAAATCCAAAAATATGAATGGAATGATAAATCACAAGTACAGACTCATCATATTTTGTACATTTTAGATACGATTTATTCGGCAAACTTTTGAGCTGACGTCATCAGTTTTTTGTAGAAGATAACCAAATATATTTTGACTAAAAATTTATTATGCTCTTTATAACCTTACAACATCTGCAAGATTTCAAAGCATTCGGTTTTGTAGTTCCTGATTAAATCAATAAAACAAATTTACGCATTCATTAATTTTTTTGAGTCACCCTGTATATGCAAATCGAAAAAATTTGAATGGAATGATAAATCACAAGAAGAGACTCACCATATTTTGTACATTTTAGATAGGATTTATTCAGCAAAATTTTGTTGTGACATCATAAATTTTTTAGGGGGGACGACCAAATACGTTTTGATCAAAAATTTACCATGCTTATGATAATTTTAAAATATCTTCAAGATTTCGAAGCATTCGGTTTTGTAGTTCCTGAGTAAATCATTAAAATAAATTTACGCTTTCATTTATTTTCTTGAATCACCCTGTATATGCAAATCCAAAAAATATGAATGGAGTGATAGATCACAAGTACAGACTGATTATATTTTGTACATTTTAGATATGATTTATTCGGCAAATTTTCGAGCTGACGTCATCAAGTTTTTGGAGGGGATAAGCAAATATATTTTGACTAAATATTTATTATGCTCTTTATGACCTTAAAACTTCTGCAAGATTTCAGAGCATTCGGTTTTGTAGTTCCTGATTAAATCAATAAAATATATTTACGCATTCATTAATTTTTTTGAGTCACCCTGTATATGCAAATCCAAAAAATATGAATGGAGTGATAGATCACAAGTACAGACTGATCATATTTTGTACATTTTAGATATGATTTATTCCACAAACTTTTGAGCTGACGTCATCAAGTTTTTGGAGGGGATAAGCAAATATTTTTTGACTAAAGTTTATGATGCTCTTTATAGCCTTAAAACATCTGCAAGATTTCAGAGCATTCGGTTTTGTAGTTCCTGATTAAATCAATAAAATATATTTACGCATTCATTAATTTTTTTGAGTCACCCTGTATATGCAAATCCAAAAAATATGAATGGAGTGATAGATCACAAGTACAGACTCATCATATTTTGTACATTTTAGATATGATTTATTCCACAAACTTTTGAGCTGACGTCATCAAGTTTTTGGAGGGGATAAGCAAATATTTTTTGACTAAAGATTTATGATGCCCTTAAGGCTATAATTAAAACATCTGCAACATTTCAAAGCATTCTGGTTAGCAGATTAAAAATTAAATTTCAAAATATTGTTTTATAATTTTGATTTTTTTTCCAAAAATCTGGACGTTTCGGGTGAAAAGTCGATTCAGAGTTGTAAACTACATGTGTAGGACTATGTTATTTTATACAATTGAAAACCCATTTACTATGTACAATTTTGAAGTGACGTCATCGCATTAGTGGTGGGGATGATTAGACAAATTTTGGTTAGCGTTTTACCATCTACATGATATTCTTAATATAAGTACAAAATTTCACAACAATCGGTCGAGTACTTTCGGAGATTATCTGTCTAATAAAAATCCGGGACGGCAGACGGACAGACGGACGGACAGACGGACGGACAGACGGACAGACAGACAGACGGACAGACGGACAAACGGACAGACGGACAGACGGACAGACAGACGTAAATGGGAGACCTATTTCTTCGTCTTCTAGGGGTCATGAAAGATCGAGAAAACGTAAAAGTAGAAAGTCGGCCGACGGACTCGATTACAATACTTCCTATGCTTACGCTCGGGAAGTAAAAATCGATATAAGTACAGTCTACCGTCAAGTTATTTACAGTGTTATTGGAATAAACAACTAGATTGTTTGTAATAGATATCTTTCAATGAAACTTTAGTAGTAATTTAAAATATTAACAATAATTTGTTTACACTGTCAAATATTCAGCCATAGGGAATATACTGGAAGCTTCTTTCTGTTTTCTCCAGGTTGCATGGCCCCTAGAGTACGAAAAAATAGGTATCCCATTTCCGTCTGTCTGCCGTCTATTACAACTTTTATTAGGT